AAGGAAACGCCTCATCGTCATTTAAACAGAGGAAAAAAAAAAAAAGTTAAAGGTAAATTCTCTCACAATTGATATCTATAATCAAGTGAACACCTCATTGTTAGAAAAAAAACGAAGTCTTACATGTTGCAATCCATCAATTCTGACACCCGAGACATCAATGGATTCATCATCTTCATCAACAGGCGCCTATTCAGATTTTGAGCAACACTAAAAAGAATCGAGTGGTTCACTTAAGGGAGCTTGATTCTTTTTAGTGTTGCTCAAGCTCAATTTGAGAAAAATATTCCAATGCTTGACATCAACTCGAGTTTTTTTTTTTAAAAAAAAAATTGAGGCTCGAATTTGCTTTGAATTTGGGGTATTTATGTAAATTACACTTTTTTAGACCGGTTCGTCAAAAACTCGAGGTTTTAATACACAATTTCGGCTCGAGTTATTGAGGTGATGTAGCTCGAGTCGACATTTGACTCAAGCGCTAGCGAGCTGCTTGTTTCGTCAGAATGGCTAGTCAATTCTATTTTCAGCAAGGGCAGTTTACATTTTGTCCGATTTTAATCATTAATATTTTGTTTTGGTTAATTGTTGAAATCCGGAATCATTCCAAAAGAGGGGAAAGTTCAATTTGGAGATTTATTCTTTCAATTTGACATTCTAAACTATTGGTACTGTTCAGATCGGATCAAAGCTACGAAGATTTTTATTATTATTATTATTATTATTATTATTATTATTATTATTATTATTATTATTTTCGAATGACTATCTAGTTATATTTATATTTTGATATGATTTGTTTTAAGATCCAACATTCATAAATATTTAACCATATTATTTTTTATTAAATCAACATTAGAAAACATAGAAATAATTTCGAATTTTAGTTAAGACGAAATTCTTGCAGCTATGATGGTTAAACCTAAGCGAGACGTATTGTAGCCTTATCGGTGTGTATTATGTGAGGTGGATTCTCAAATGCCTGGTTGGGTTTATGAAAATATGAATAGATTTTCTCTTTTCATCTATTGGAATCTTATTTTGTTAGCTAACTTTTGAGTTTATCTATATAAAAAAACATTTAAATTTCAGGAGATGACATTGGAACAGTATGAGAAGCTTCTGGAGGTGAAATAGAAGCCCTTATTGGCCCTTAAAACTGAGGAGAGGAATCTTGGCTCAAAAGAATCTGAATCCACGCAGCCACTCTCAAATATGGCCGAACTCTTGCGGATTACAACATCCAGAAAGGTTATTTGTGCTATATTTTTTTTTTAATGGTTTGATTTCTTGAGGGTTTATGTTTAGGATTTACTTCCTTTTTATCGAATGTTGGGATGAACTTTTGTAGAGTCCCTTTGCATCCGCTTTTGAGGCTCAAAGGTGGCAACATTGAGCCCTCGCTTATGGCTTTAAGCTAGGAAATTCAATCGATGATTTGCCACAACTAAGCTTACGGAACTAAGTTGTCCCGTTGATTTTATTTTTTGCTTATTTGATTCTGTAAGTCCCTCTGTTATCAGTTATCTAAGCTATGTTTCTTCCTCCAGTCAATTATATCTTTTTATTTCTTTCACTTGATAAACAATGTCATAAAGAACAACTCTACAATGGAAATTGGGGATCTCCTTGAAGTGGGAATCTCACCCACAAAATGTGCTTATATTAACGAAGCCAAATTCAACTTCTGTACGGATCATCTGTTTCGATATGATCAAGTAGGATGCTCGAATGTTCCAAGCATTTTACCTTTTTTTAGCTCGATTTTATCGTATCCTCATGATTTTTTTTGATAATGTATGTGTGGTTTTCAGAATCAAGATGAGAAAAAGTAATTGAGCTGATAACTTGATATACATATCCATATTCCATAGATGGAAGATGTGGTTACAAGTTTGTGATTTGGTCCATCAAAACATCACAAGTCTGATCAGTAAATTATAATACATTGATGAATTATAATTAAGGAGTTTGCTTCTTGGTCTTCGTGTATATATTCTGGATTTTGTAGTAGTGATATTTTTGCTTGCATGTTCTCTTTGATTATTGCTTGCATGTTCTCTTGATATCTGTTGGGAATATACTGGGTATGTTGTTGTTGTTGTTGTTGTTGTTCTCTTTGATTATTGCTTAGTAATTTGATTTTTTTGTTTTTTTGTTTCTGTTCCTAGATGGTTGAAGGAGCAGAAAAATATGAATATACTTGTCCAGCCACGAGTGAGGGCTTAGCTTTTGACAGTGTCATCGCACTACAGCTTTGTACAAACCTGTGCAGATGGTCAGAAAACTCTCCCTGTTTAAAAGTCCTAGATATTATTTAGTTATTCATTATTGCTCTTACTATTATTATTATTATCATCGTTGTTATAATTATTTATTTATTTTGTTGATGTAAAACAAAGTAGTAGAGATAAAATCATGTGACTACAATTGACCTGTCTTATTCCAGTAGTTTTTGGATATACTGTTTGCTTTACAACACTCACAAGTTTTTGCAGATTTTGTTGAGTTCAGTGGAAATATATTTTTCTTTTGCAAAATTCCATTATTTGTCTTTTACTTTAGAATATTATTGTTGTAATTTACATTAGAAGAATTTTGTGGTTTAACATTCAGTTATTTCCAGTCTTTGGCTTTGTAAACTCAAAGTTTGTGACTTTTTGGGCGTCTTGTAGTGACTCTTGGTAACTGAGCCGCTTTGTAATCAGAGCAAACCTTGTTTACTTTTTTCTAATTAATTGGACACTCCATAGATCAGCTGCTGCCATAAAATTTAGAAATCGTTAACATAAAAAATTTCAGACAGTGAACGACACCGTGAAGATCTCAGCTCCATCCTCGATGGCTGGTTGTGAGTGAGGGAGATCAACATTTCTCCCTTTGGGCTTACCAATTACTACAGAATATATGTCTTGTTGATTATGATAAGAGTTAAGGCTTTATGCATCGAATCTTGGTCAGTATTTGAACGAAACATGATGCACTAGAATAGATGTTTGAAGTGCATGTTGTGTACCGCTATTGAAAAGATGTCGACTCTTGGAAATTGAAAAGTTATTGGATAATGGAAATGAATTACTAGTATAATTCTTAATCCGTTCATACATATATCAATTTTTACCCATTAATGTTTTATTACTTCTATATTACAATAATCAAATTATGTATATTTTTATTTTATAGCCACTAACTGCNGGCTAGCTATTTCGCAACAGATATATCTAAATTCTTCATTCATCACAACTTGTATACAACTCGTCTGAGACACGGGGTGAATAATTTTAAGGTCATTTGCACAGTCTTATTATTATTTTTGTGAATAAAAATAATTAATCAACTCAGAATAAAAAAAAATATTATATATTGTTCAACATTTCTTTGTACACAACACGTTTTGTTTGTTTTGTAGGCAAACAAATATTTTCAAGGCATTTCGATACTGAAACAACTGAATATAACTGGCCGTGACTGAAAATCGGCTTCTTTAAGAACAAACCAACATGCGACAAAGATAGACCCTGATTCTTGTTAATCATCACGACATAAGAAACCATAAGGGAAAATTGTCTCACTGATTAATAAGGCTTCGAAATCAAATTGAAAGAGGGGGAGGTCACCTTTGAACTTAACTAAATTCGTCACACCATAGATTACAATTTTATATTGGGCAATTGTGAGCCGAAATGAGCAAACGTTCCCCTCCACTTGGTATTTTTGAATGTCATAGACTTAGCGTCTTCTCGAATGTTGTTAACCTATTTTTTCAAGGTGCCTCCTCATATCAGTACGGTGATATGATCTCCCTATATAAATATTTTAAAATAATATAAGTACAAATATGTATAAGATAATAATACGCATTTAGTTTAAATAACAACACACATAAAATTGGGGAAAAAAAAAAAAGCAAAACAAATTGCATACCACCTCCTCATCATAAAATAAGATTCCAAGAAGTTCATATATTCTGCCTCAAATTCGCATTCAATGATTCAAATTGCCCGGAGCTTCATGCATGATTTATTCGTTTGAGAGATGTCCTTAATGAGAACAAATTCGCACTTCATTTTGAATATATATGTATTTGTATGAGAAAATTAAAACATGATGCACGAATAAGTACATGCAACTTGATTTAGCACTCAAATTATTAGAGGTTGACAAATGAATCATTAACGACTTTTCCATAAAAATATTGATTCGGGCAATTTTTTAGCTAATGCAACTCGATCATAAAAAATCATTCGGCAATTCTTTTTTACCTAATGCTCCGGTAAATGGCTAATTTTAAAATTTGAGATTTATTGTGAAAAATGTAAGGGTGTGTTCGTTTAGAATTTCGAGTGACATTTTGAGATTTTAAAATCTGAGATTGTAAGATTTTCATATTTTAGATAAATCTTATGAAATCTTAAGTTTGGAGGCGAGATTTGGAGATGAATTTTGTATAAAAATTTTTCTTTTGAAATGCCAACAAATCTTAAAGTCTTAGCAAATGCTTAGTCTCAAATAAGTTAAGGATTTCTAAAACCTTAAAAAGTCTTTAAAAATCTCAAATGAACATACCATTCGTAATACTATTTTTAAACAGTTTTATTTATTCATAAATACTTTCAAGAAAATAGAACACATCAATTATTTCAAAAAATTGAACAATATTTTGACCTACAATTTTAAAAATTAAAATGCACGATACGAAGCCAAAAAAGTAAGATAAATTTTAGGCAATAAGCTAAAT